CAACCTGTTGTGATCTTCAGTGCAGTGCCTGAAAGGGTGCTGAAGGCAGATTCAATAACATTATTCAAAAGACAATTGAATAAGTATTTCTTGGATACTTGAAGTGAAATACTTAGAGCCGTGGGGAAGACCTCAGGAATGGAATTTATTGCATAGCTCTACTAAAGAGCTAACGTGGGTAAAATGGACTGACTGACCTCCACCAGTATACATCATTCTGTGATTATATGAAATAGCTGTCCCAAAGCTGATATTTAGGGGACAGTTGGTTAGCTCACTTGACTGAATGGCTGGTTTGTGATGCCAACAATGTGGGTTTAATTCTTGCACAAACTGAGGTTACCATGAAGCACTCTCTTTCTCAATCTCTCCCCTTGCCTGAAGTGCAGTGACCCTCTGGTTAAACCACCACCAGTTGCCGCTCTCTTTGGAGAGAGTAGCCTTATAGTCCTCTGGTTCTATGGCGACTTTACCTTTCACTTAGCATACAACATACTTAATGCATTCCAGTTTAAAAAATATCTTTCGATCATACTGTTCTGGTCTTCAAGCAATTTCTCATTCGTCCATTTAGCACATACTGTAATATTATGTACCTACCTACGGCATTTCAGAACTAATGGTTTTTGTAAACAGAAAATCTGCATAATTAATTGATTTGCTGAATTAGTTATTTCTCTATTGTTAGACACAGCTTGCTTTAAATGTGTGCAGTCGACCTCAAATTGCTTGTTACAAAGAACGGTGCATCACAGGAGCAAGCCCTTTGGCCCACCAAGCCTGCATGGACACACAACACCTTTCTAAACTTAAAACGTTTTGCCTCCACATGGTTCATATCCCTCTATCCCCTGCCTATTCATGTATCTGTCATGATGCCCCTTAAATGTTGATGTTGTATCTGCTTCCACCACCTCCTCTGGCAGCACATTCCAGTCACTTACCATCCTCTGTGTAAACAAAACTTGCCTGTCACATCTCGTTTACACCCCCTCCCCAATGTTCCCAAGTACTTGACATTCATACACCTGGTAAAAAGACTCCAACTGTCCATGCCTCTCATAATTTGTAATCTTCTATCCGGTCACTCCGTAGCCTGCAACATTCAAGTGAAAACAAACCACGTCTGTCCAATCTCTCCTCCTACTAAGACCCTCCAAACCAGGCAACATCCTGGTAAACCTTTTCTGTATCCTCTCCAAAGCTCCCACAACCTTTTTGGTGTGGTGACCAGAACTGTATACAATATTCTAAATGTGGCCTAACTAACGTTCTGTACAGCTGCAGCGTGACTTGCCAATCTGTGCCCTAACTGATGAAGGCAAGTATGCCAATTGCCTCCTTGATCACCTTATCCACTTGTGTTGCCACTTTCAGGGAACTGGGGATCAGTACGCCTAGATCTCTGTGTTAATGCTTCTGCCATTTACTGTATAGAACTAGGAGACCATCCTTCAAATGGATAAGTTTGCACTTTCCGTCATTTTATTCCATCTGCCAATTACCTGCATCCCTTTGCAGACTCCTGATTGCAGGAAATTTGGGTAGGAATTCACCTTGGATGGTGTCACAGTGAGTCCAATGGAACTGACTGAGATGAAGAGTATAACTGGCAGGCGGAATACAATTGTCTATGCTGCATTACAGTTCAAAGTGCATTTCTACCTAATATCTGTATCTACTGTTTTCTGCCACCGATTTTTCAACTATCTTCCATGTTGGAACTTTCTATGTATCTTTATCTCCCTACGTTTTCACTCCCAATGTGAAAACTTCACAAATTTTGCCGATGCTTGAAGCACAAATTGAAAATTCTGGTAGAACTCAAGGTAGCGTTGCTGAAGAAAATGGAAGAGCTAATGATTTGCCTATGGATCCTTAAAACCTCCTCTTATCCTTTGTTTGGCTGTATTTTCCCTGTTATGCTGTTTGTACAGCCATACAAACTTATCCAGCAGTTTTCACCTGTTCAGTGCGATTTTTCCTAAATGTTTAAAGAGTATTAGCTGACTCTCTTTGTAGGGGATAGATATTTCTGGGTCTTTCTTCCTCTTCCTTCACCTTTGTTCTTTCATTTTGTCCAAGCCTTTAAATAGTCTCATTTATCTACACATTCCAGTTCTACTTCAGCATATGATCCTGTCTTTTTCTCCTTATATATTTTGACTGACCTCTACATTACTGTAAGATAATTTCCAAAATTTGTTTGATTTCCAGCATTTTTATTTAACCCTGTGACTAGGGGGAGTATTTAAGGTGCTCAACACTCATGTAAAATAGAAAAGCCATAGGTCTGTCAACATTAGTGATAACAATAGAGAATTTGAGGTGATCAATTAAAAGTAGCACAATATAACATTGACTGGCCTTAAAGTGTTTGTTTGTGTAATCTTGATTTCTATAATTTGATTGTAAATAATGTATCCTGCTTCAATTTTTTTCTTGCATATTTTATCCTATTGCACTGCTTCTATTTTTTCTTTAATTGAAATACATTATTCGTTACTGAAGGTGCCAACTATTGGGATTTGTCCCTTATTTTCATGGGTTTTTCCAGTAAGTTAGTTTTACTGTCATTCCAACAAAAACATATTGTTTTCCTGATGAATCATTTCAACCAACACCAAATTTTTGTTTGAATTTGAAACAAGCACTGCAGATTCTGGAATATCAAGTAAAAGCAGAGAATGCAGGCAAACCTCCAGTAGGTTGGGTAGCATCTGTGGAGAGACAAACACAATTAACATTTTAACTCCATGATCTTTTATCAGAGTTAGTACTTTATTGAAATGCTAACTGTTTCTCTTTTCACAGATGTCTTCAGAATGAATAATCCTGAATTGATTTCTGATGAAATAAGCATTGGGAGGGCCAAAAATTAATACTTCTGCTGACCACAGGGAGACTTTAGAAAATGAACAAGTTTCATTTTTATAGTGCCTTGTTATGGATTCATGTTGTTACAGAATAATTTACAATCAATGAATTACTTCTGATGTGCAGTATGTAGACCAGTGTGGCAGACAATTTGCATACCGTGAGGCCGCACAAGCTGCGTGTCATTGAATAGGCAATTTATGGTGCTTCTGGGATTTTAATTGACAGAAAGGTATTAGCCATTAGAGAACTTTATTGCTTTGAGAACTGACATCGTTTTATTTTAGTTTCCACCTAAGTGGGCAGACAACTTGGCCCCTTGTTTATTAGTTCATCTGAAAGTAATCCTCATTACTGGATTATTTGATGTCTATTCTTGCATTCCCACATGTTAGCACCCCTGCATATCTTGCCCAGTTCTTTTAATTGCCTCATCCCTGCCTTTTTCTTTAATCTCTCCCAACTCCTCACTCTCTCAATACTCACCATGCACATTTGCATTGCCCTCATTGCCTTTCTCTTTCCCTCTTCCCTTTCCCCCATCCTTCCCTTTTCACTTGTGAAAATCTAAATGAGATGGCTAGATATTTCCTTCTACAAGATGATCTTTGCCTGGCCTTCATATTACCCGTGACTTGTCAGCGAAAGCTTGACTACTCTCTTTTATTCCTGCCCTTTAAAAGACAGAGCTGCTGTCTTGGTTGATGAATAACTGCAACATCTATTGATAATGGAAGTATCTTTATCATAAAGCTGTTGATGCTGGAAAGCAGCAATGCTCTCCCTACTACTGCGTGCCTAACATCATGCATCAGACTTTGAACTGTGATGAGAACTGTTTAATTGAAAAAATGTTTAATTTTAGGTACTTTATTGTTCAGGCTATTGTCAGGCAACTGAAATATCATGAGCAGTCATAGAATGATGAATTTTATTGTATAAAACATACATGCTGATGTGGTTGTTCTGAGAGATTATTTAGCAGTCCTGTCATGTAATAATCTATTTTCTTAAACTCTAAAAGTTAACTGTAAGCAACTGTGCAAACCAAAGGATGTCTATTCTGTCATGGTTTCAATAGCAAGTTTTCAGTTTGCAATAATTAAGATAGGAAACTCTCTTATTTTGTAGGCTACTTGAGGAATAAATCTTAAAATGTTATGATTTATGTATGGTGTTTTTAATCATCGGCTTGTCTCTTTATTTCTAAAAAAAAATGTTGACCATGGAATGTAAGCTGAAATGGGCACCATTTGCAATGAAGCACTGTGAATTTATTACTGTACCTTGCAAAAAACACATTTTAGCAGGCCTTAAGTTCTAGATAATGAGATTGTTATTGGAGTGGCCGTATTTTATAAAACTATTAAATGTATGTAAGCTGCCACAGAATGGACATCATGCTATTTTTTAATTGTATTGTGTGTATATCAATTATTTCTATGTATGGAGAAATATCATTTGGCAATTGGAAGCTAATAACCATCTTCATACTATATTGCATCCTGGTAATAACATCTTCGTCTCTGTGAGGTATCATGTTTGAGGTATTATTTAATTTATTGAACATATTCTGTCTTTTACCAAGTATTGAAGCTATCAAATGGCATGTTGAATGCATTTGGCTTGCTATTGCCTGTCAAACTAGAAATGATGTGTTGCTGTCAAACTAATGATATACAGTGCCCCAAATCATCCTGTAAACAGATTAGTGTGGTCCATTTAATTTTTCACAAAGCATTAATAAAAATGGTTTGAAAAGTATTGCTGTTTTAACAGAAATTCAGTCACGCTATTTGGAGGGTAACAGATACTTTTATCAACTCAGTTAATTACAACAGTTAACTTTTGGTTGACAAAAGTTAAATTGTTTGTCATTACGTTATTTTAAAGAGAGCATGACAGTTATTTGCCCAATCTGTTGCCAAATCACCACCCCGCCCTCCCCAGGCAAATTGACCTTTTCTATGAAGGAAACAGTGTCACTAATTCTGCCAGTTATCCTGAGTTTGAATTATTTACGCATTCGCTATCTACTAATTAATCCTCAGCAAAAATATAGAAGCCTTTTTCAGAATCGTGAAGTACCTTATCTAATTGCTTTTTTTAAAACAAATTTCCAGGTATATGTATTGGACAGACTGGGGAGAAGTGCCAAAGATTGAACGAGCTGGAATGGATGGTACAACACGCTCGATTATAATTGACAGTAACATTTACTGGCCAAATGGATTGACATTAGATTATGAAGAAGAGAAATTATACTGGGCAGATGCTAAGCTGAGCTTCATTCACCGATCAAACTTTGATGGAAGCTTGCGGTAAGTCTTTCGAAAGAGATCGAGCTCAAAGGGCAGAATGGCTTACTCCTGCTTCACTGTCTCTATGTCGAGTTAAATTCTAGATTTGGAAAACTTTTATATCAAATTACTAACAGTTGGAGATATTATGACATGCATTTTGAAGAGTGCAGTTCAACAGTTGGAACTCTTTGTTTCGTGGTAGAAAACTTATCACCTGAGAAGTGATACTAAAAAGTAGAAGAGTAAACTGTTGGAACTGCAGGCTGACAAGTACCAGGGCTCTGATGGACTTCATGCTAGGGTCTTTAAAAACAAAAGTGATATGTGAGACATTTAATGCAGTGGTTTTAATCTTTCAAACTCACTTTTCAGTTGTGGGTGGTCCTATTAGATTTGAAGGTGACAAATGGAACTACTTATCTTGAAAAGAAAGGGAGGGCAATCCCAGAAAACAGGAAACTGTGGACCAGTAATCATAACATCTATCAAAGGGTTAATGTTAGAAGCTATTATTAACAAGTTAAACGTGGGCACTTTAGATAACTTTAAGTTCATCGGGGAGAGTCAACGTGGTTTTTGTGAAAGGCAACTATATTTAACTGATCCATTGGAGTTCTTTGAGGAGGTAACGTGCTCTGGATAAAGGAACTGGTCGATTGTATTACGTTTGGATTTCCAGAAAGCATTTGATAAGTTATCTCCAGGTTCATAGTACAGGGGAGAGCATGCTGGCTTAAGTGGAAGATAGTTGTAGCTAACAGGAAGTAGCCAGATGGCGTACATGGAAATTTTTTTTGGGTTGGCAATATTTAGAGAGTGGTGGGCTTGGTGCTGAGACCTTTAAGTTTTGCAATTTATGTTAACAACTTGGATAAAGGCATGGGAGGGATGGTTGTCAAATTTGCTGGTATCACAAAGAGGTATTAAAGAAAGTTAAGAAGCGGACACTCGGAGATTAAAAAGAGTAGGTTACGTAAGTGCACAAAGACGTGGCAAAAGAAGTATAATGTGGGAAAATATGAAATTGGCCACTTTAGCAGGAAGAATACAAAAGTATTATATAAAGTGGTGAAAGATTTCGGAGGTCTGAGGTTTAGCGGGATCTGTGTGTTCCCATTCATGAATTTCAAAAGGTTAGTGTGCAGACAGAGCAAATAATTAAAAAAAAAATAGAATATTATCAATTACAGTAAGGGAATTAGATACAAAAGTAGCAGTTCTATGTCTTGGTTATACAGTACACTGGTGAGACAACATCTGCAGGACTGGCTGCAGTATTGATCACTTTAATAAAGGAAGGTGAGGCAGTTCAGAGAAGGTTTACCAGATCAAATACTGGAACCAGGTTGTCTTATGAGGAAAGCCTTGTACCCAATGGGCTTTAGAAGAGTAAGAGGCAACTTGATTGAAGCACAAGATCCTGACTGGCCTCCACAAGATAGATGTGGAGAGTTGTGAATCTTGGGAATTCTCTTCTTGAAAAGGCATTGGAAGAGTTTTTGAACATTTTTTTAAGACAGAGGTAAATAATTCATTGTGAAGCACAAGGGTGAAGGATAATCATAGATAGGTGGGAATGCAGATTTGAGGTTACAAGTAGATCAGTTATGATCTTCTTGAAACCAGCTCGAAGGATGAATGGCCCACTGTTGTTCCTGTTTTGTATGATTGCATGTATGTAAATATGACATCGTGCTCCCTTTTCAGGACCTCCAGGCACAAATGTGACCATAGAAGAGAGGCAAACATTTGGATCTATTATAGTCCTGCCTGGATCTGTTAATGGCCACCTTGGTCCTATAGATTCTCACAGACTGAAAGCAGCTGAAACCTAGGAATCTTTAGATTTTCAGTTGAATACTTTCTATACTGATCTATTTCAGCTTTCAGTGCCTAAAAAGACAATTGATAATCAATACTCTTCACCTAGTTATCCTTCGCCATAACTATTTAAATGACATGATCTTAATGAACTATAAGTCAAAAAGTTGTATAATCGTATGAATGAGGCTTTTGTGTTTTTAGTATGTAAAACTAAGGATTTACTTTCTACCTGCCCACCATGCTATTTTTTATTTTCTTGAAGCTACTATTAAAATCTCAAATGAGTCATTTTAATGCGTACAAAGTAAAAGATGTAGCTGTATGAACAAAAACAGAAGTTGCTGGAAAAGCCCAGCAGGTCTGGCAGCATCTGTGAAGGAAGAAACAGAGTTAACATTTCGGGTCCGGTGACC